TAGAAAGCACCTGGCCCGAGCCGTCGGCCTGGCGGCTGTGAGCGGCCTCCAATTTTCAGGACACTTGGAAGTCAGTGTCATTAGGCGGCTTTTCACCTGTCGACACCACACAGCCCGTCCCCTGGTGTCGAGCACGGGTTCCAGACGGCGCACCAGATGGTGCACAGAGGTCAGGGGCCTCCAGCAGGCGGCCTAAGGGACCAACCCCAGAGGTGCCTTGCGCTTCATCGGCAACTGCTTCTTTCCACTCAAGAATCAAAACCACATACAACCTCAAAACAGCACACAGGACGACGGCGAGTGCTTCCAGAAACTTCCCCCCCGCTGGCTCCTTCCCTGCTGCCCAGGGAGGGTCTTCCCGCGATGCAAGAGGCTGTTGCTGAGAAACCTGCTCTCACTGGCCATCCACTCTGGAGGTAGCCACAACGTCTGGGCTCTTAAATTAAGTCTCATGAAGCCAGTGGGTGCCTTAGTGGGACCACGGAGCATCCAGAAGGTATGCAGACTCACCAGGTCCTCAGTGGACGCTCGTGGGGCCCAAGGCTGCAGAACGTGTGCCTTGAGCTGACTCGGCAAAGCGAGGACTGACGACCCTGAGGGACCACCACAGCGGCCGTCGCAGCTCACATCTCCCCGATAAGTACATTAAAAACTTCCAAAAGCAGTAAGCGGGTGACATATTTTGCCCATAAATTTTTAAGAGCTCGCTGTGAGTCCCACTAGCACCTAAAGATTCTAGCACTTAAATCTTTTAAGAAACAAACCACCAGGCAAGGGACACACTCGCCACGAGCGAGACAGGCCTGTGGGGGCCTCCCGAGGGGCCTGCACTCTGGGGACGGGTCCTCGCGGCCGCTGGCGACGGGTGGCCTGCGCACGGCCTGCTCCGCCATCCCTCGCCGGCCCGGGGCGTGCCCGCCCCCTTTCGGCCCGACACGCACGTGGGATGCAGAGCGACAGCTGCACCGACGCCGCTAGCCTGTCTGAAGGGAGAACAGCCTCCCGACCAGAAGCACAGTAAAGCAAAGAGCACTTCTGACGCCTGTTCACTCAGGAATCTCACGTGAGGGAACATCCTGCCGAGAGGGGCAGGTGGGCCCCGGTGGGCGCTCGGCCAGCGGTACCGCCGCGTACACCGAAAGGCTGCGGGTTCGCTTCCAGGTCAGGGCGCGCACGTGGGTTGCGGGTTCGAGCCCAGGTTGGGTTGTGTGTAAGGGGCAACCGATGGATGTTGGCCCTCCTTCTCCTCCCTCCTCCTCCCTCTCTCTCTCAAATCAATAAATACCCGCTTGGGTGAGGATTTTTAAAAATGCGGTGGAGTTTTCTTACCTGTCCCCACCAAATCTAAAATACGTATTTTTTCAATTGTGCAAGCGTGACAAGATGAACTGGTCAGAGGTTAGACGCTCAAACCCACTGGAGCGCAGGTTAGTCTGCGCGAGGCACCCGGCGAGGCCCCAGCCCGCTTCTCTCGGCAGGGGCTGCGTCGGGGCACGAAGGCCCGGCGCTGGCCTCGCTCTGGCCCGGGGTCTGCGCGGAGGCAGGGGGCCAGGGCCCAGGCTGCGGATCTGTCCAATAATATAGAGATTAAAAAATGCGAAAGGGAAGGATAGAAAGGAGAGCACACAGCTGCCGCCCCCAAACAGACCTCCCATCTGCCACCAACGATTTGCATGTCACCTTCTCCGGGCTCATTTGTACTTCATTAACTGCCATTGACTTAACAAGATTTATGCAAATGACACCATGGGAGCTCCCCAACTCCCACCGCAATCAAGCGATTATGTATGTACAAGTCTCCGCAGCAATGAAAAATTCATACGCGACAGGCCCGCTGCCGCCGAGCCGGGCCTCTGGCTTTTTATTTTTCTTGCTTTGCTTTTTAATTTTTATTCCAGTAGACCCTATCTTATTAGTAAAGAAAGACGACACTGTCTGAACCGAATCTCCTCTACGGCCTCAGAAAGGGCAGGAAAGGGGAGGTGGGCCCAGGCCCTCCAGAAAGGAAGTTATTGTGCAGAAAATAAGTCATCGCCTTGATGAGAAGTCTTAACTGGGGAGACAAGGGAAGGCTGGCATCCCTGCCTATGTGATCCCGCAGCTCCCACATGGCAGGGGTGAGGGGAGCCCCGTCCTCACAACGCACAGGCCGTGACCGCGGCAGAAGGGTTAACGTAATTCACCGGGACCGGCAGCACAATCCCTGCCGACCAGGTCAGGTGCAGAGCACGCTGGGCCTTGTCTCTGTCCTAAACCGCCTGTGACCAGGTTCCCGTGGGGAGGGGGACAAGGCCCTGCCATGATCAAAACTACCACAGAGGTCGCTGAGGTCCCAAAGGGCCCGGGAGCCGGTGTGCGGGGTCCCGACGCCCCAGCCAGGCCTCGCGCCCACAGAGCGTCAGGGCCAAGCACGCTCTCCGCCGCTGGCGAGAAGGGCAGGACCTGAGCGCGGCAACCGTCCCGAGGGAGGACACGCCCCGCCCCCCGCCCCCCGCCCCCGGAGGCTGCGGTGTCCAGAGGAGGCGGGTTCCTCCTGCAGGCAGCCGGCGAGCGTCCTTCTGCCCGAGCACCACCGGGCACCGTCGTCTGAGGTCCCGGCTCACGCACCCAGAACGCGTCACGCGCTCCCAGCGGGCGTTCTGCCCAGGCCCTGGGCACAAGGGCCCGGTCCCCATCCTGGCCCCGCTCACCCGGCCGGGGTTCAGTTTAAAGTGCAGAACACACAGCCACGCCAGCGCGGCGACGTTCAGGCCGCCGCAGGACGCGTGTGCGAAGCGCGTGACAAGAAAGCAGCACTCGTTTCACCGTCCGTTTACGCAACGCACAGGTCTGCCGGGCGTCTCCAACGCGCTGGACCGCGCGGCCCCTCGGGCTCCGTCCCCTCAGAGGCCCCTCCCCCCACCCCGCCACCAACGCCTGCCACTCGAGACCATTCCACTGGGGGCGGCGAACTCAGGCTTCCGCCCGTGAGCTCGGCTCCCGGAAAAACTGGGGTGGGAGCGCGTGCGAGGTGAAGTCCCGCCCTGTCTGGAAATCGGCGCGGCCGGTGCGCCCCGCAGGAGGGCTGCAGCAGCGAGCGATCTGAAGACCCAGGTTTGCTGGAATTCAGAAGTTCTCCCTGGAATCTCCATGTGCCTGTGACTCACGGGACGGGGACAGGGTCCGGGGCCCCGTTTCACGGAAGCGGAGCCTGAGGTCAGGGCACCTGCCCGGCGCGGGCCCGCTGGGGTGGGCGCATCCGTGGCCCGCAGGCACAGGGCGGGGGGCTGCGAGGAACCAGGGGCCGGGCGCGCATCCTGCGCCGCGACTCTTGGCTTTCAACGTGACTGTTCTGAGCGTCTGCAATTACAAGGCCCCCAAGGACTGCGTAATCCTCATTTCACGCCCGAGGGCTGGCTGCCGGCCTCACGCACAGGGAGAGCCGCGCCCGCAGAGAGCCCTGCGGTGGGCGAGCAGGGCACAAATGGAGCGACGGCCCCCGGGACAGCCGGGGCCTGCCGGCCGGCGCCATCCCACCCCAACCGACAGCAGTCATGAGGTAAGGAAACAGTCCAGCGTTTGGCTCTAACATTCCCCAAAGGAAGTGTCCCCGCGTCCGCCACTAAAGGAGAGGGAGCGGGTACAAGGGTTTTGTAATTCTAGCTCCAACAGCATCGGTAGCATAGAAACTGCACATTAATTACCTGAAGGCAGAGAGCCGGGTGGGTCAACACACACACCCAGGAAGAGTGAGCGACCACGTGCGGGGGCTCTCCAGGCAGGACCCCCTCAGGGAAGACATCATCGCCCGCGGCAACGGGGACAGAAGACGGCTTTTCTTAACGGGGCCCCGTGCCGGTCCACACAGGGGCTGCCCAGTACGCACCCGCGCTGTGGAAGGACGCCTGGGGCCTCCCTGCTCCGGTGCCCCCCCCCCAGCATGGTTCTAACCACCCCCCCCGCCAGCTCCTGCACCTCCCCTTTGAAGGACCCCTGCTCTTGACAAGGGAAGCCAGTGCCAACACAAGGTCCTTCAAAATGTGTCAAAGTGCCAAGGCACCCGCAGGAGAGGCTGGCCAGGAGCGAGCCCTGAGGGGACACGGCCGTCCCAGCCAGGCCGGGAGGCCGAGCAGGGGCCCCGCCCATGGGCGCTCCCCCTCACAGACACCGCGTGCCCTAAATCAACGGGCCTCCCTCAGGAAACGGAAAGACGACGTTTCCAGAAACCACCGTGCCGGGTTGCACTCTCTATTTTCCTTGGAAACGGAACAGCAAAAGATGTCACATGAATCCCTGTTCTCCTTGCGACATAAAGTAATTTGGTATCTGGTTTCCGGGCTAATGAAAACCCATTCCAGGCTAGCAGCCTAGGCCAAAACAAATGCGCGGATGCAGGTCCTCTCGTGTAATGAGGAAGTTTAATTAAGGCCCCACATTACAGCTGTAAATGTTCCTTTATATAATAAGGTCTAAATGAAACTGAACCTAATCAAAGTTACAATTCCTTCATTAGCAAATTACAAACAAGAGCGCACAGCTGACACACCGGCTATGATTATCGCAACTAATTGCCTCGTTGTTACAAACTAGCCTGAAACAGTGTTCAGATGTCCGTCTGCGCGAGCAAATTAGGGCCACGTCGGGCTCTTCCCGGGCTCACAAGGGGCTCTTGTGCGGAGATCTGATTTACCCCGGTCGCCCGGCGGCCAGCGGCCCAATCAAAGCCCAGCTACAAAGGCAGCCTTTGAAGCCAGCTCAGCCTGGAAACACGCTCCATATGCGGGCGGGCAGACCGCACTTCATTAGGTCTGTTGTCACATTTTCCCTCTTCTTATTCTAATGATCCTATTTTAATACACACAGGAACCTCTTCTAATTGATGTCAAGTGAGTGACTTCTACATTCATCAACAGAGCACATCAAACGAACCTTGGCGCGCGAGCCGGCGTCCCAGCCAGGGGAGACCGAGGTGTGCCCCCAGCTACGGGGAGGAGAGATGGGGCGCGGGGGCCACGGCGTACCTGTTTAATTGGGATGGCGCGGCCGCTCCCGATGCTGTCCGCGCGGTTCTCCAGGCCCTTCTTCTCTCTGTCTGGGTCACTCCCTTTCCGAGACTGCAAAAGCGAAAACAAAGTCAGCCTGCAGGAAGGGCCGCGGTTCACAGCAGGCGCGGGGGCTGCCGCGGGCCGCGCAGTTCCTGCACACGCAGAATTCGCGCCCGCGGGTGGTGCGTGTATGTACCAACATGCACACGCATACCCCAGACACAGGCTGTGGGTTCTCTCGTTGCCACGGAGGCGTCATTCCACGGAGAATGTTCTAAACTTTTCCCCCGACTTTTCCACTACAAAATTACCTTTTAATTCTTTTTTAAAGAGTTCAAAATTCAATTACTAGAGACCAATGGACCATATAGAAAAGTAACGCCCAACAGGAAAACGCACTCTGAAGCTGCAGCTAATCCAGCCGAGGAGAGAGGGGCCCCTCGCTGCTTGTTCGGGAAGCCTGCGACATAAATGTATACATTTAATTAACGTCTGAAGCGTTGGAAAAATTCTATTAACGACTCAGCTGTGCAACGTAATGGTACGCTCTCGCTTCATATCAAGGTGTCGTTAATGTTTCTTTTTATTGCTTCTGCATGGTGAGAAAAGAGCAAATTCAAAGTCAAACTAGTGTATAACAGCACGAAAACAGAACAGGAAGAAAAAGTTGAAAATGTCTTTGACAGTAAGTCAGTAATTGGGTAAAAACAGGCAGCTCCGCTGGCCAAGTTCCTGGCCCAGTTCTCCCAGCCGCACGGCTGCCGTCCTGTGAACGGCCCGCGAGCGGGTGACCGGCCGGCGGGAGGGTGACGGTGCCCCACCTGGGGAGGCCGCGCCGGAAGCCCGCCGGGACCTGGGCACGCTGGGGGGGGGCGGGGCACTGTGGCAAAGGCCCCGGCTCTCGGTGGCACGAGCAAGTGTGAGCACAGTGATCTCCTGACAGATTTATTTCATTATGAGAGAAAGATCTGAGACTCGTCCTCCTTAATAACTGCGCTGACAAGTGACAACTTCACTCCATTACTTTTCAATGGGAACATTACTCACGCAATATTGAAAATGGAGAAACATTTTCGCGTGCTTTTCAAATCTGAGATGATGTATGGAAGGAGCAGGCTTGGTGGTGTCCGGCGCTGCGGCAACCGGGGAATGGCGCCCCGTGTCTCGGGCGGAGCGGTGGGCGCCGGCTTTGCTCCTGCAGAGGGGGCCGTGCCACAGGACCCAGGGAGGGGGTGCCCCCGGTGCCCACTCGGGCGGCACCTCCACGGGCGCTCACTGAAAGCACGCTTCCGCCCCGGCCAGCGGGCCAGCGGGCTGGAGCGTCACCCCATAAACCGGAAGGTCGCGGGTTTGACTCCCAGCCAGGGCACATGCCTGGGTTATGGGTTCGGTCCCAGTTGGGGCCCTTATGAGAGGCAGCCAATCAATGTTTCCGTCCCTCCCTCCCCCTCTCTCTAGAAATCAACAAGCATGTCCTCGGGTGAAGTTAAAAAAGTTTCCTTGACCATTTTAAGAGCTGACGTTTACTGAACACCCATGTGCCCGGCACTGCGCTTTTTTTTTTTTTTTTTTAAAGGATGGTATAAGCCTGGAGTGAGAAAACAAAACAAGCAACAAAGTTGCAGGAGAACATAAAACTGAAGGCTTACTCCTGTGGGCTAAAAGGGAAATGAAGACATTTATCAATTCTTTGTCATGAATTCCAGCGAGGGGTTAGGGACTCCCTTTTCTCTAACTCTTCAATTAATAATGCAGAGTAAGGGCTGTGTAATAACCCCCACTTCTCAATCCGTGGGAAAGCTGCGGCTTGAGGTTCCCTATTGTAACACAAGACCCAAAGCTCACAGCGGTAACATTTAAAAAAATTTAAATCCACAAGAGCTCATTACGCGTACTTTCTGAATTTTATAAATTCTGAATTTAGAAATCCATCTTCATTATTCTCTATTAACCAGAATAATTAACAAAACAAACAAAAAAATTAGCATCTTCCTCCAGGCAGCCCATCTGTCCTTGCCACAGCGACCCGGAGGATTTCCGGGTTCCAGGAGCAGCAGGACCCGAGGAGCTGAACTCGGCGCCTGATCCCACTCCCCAAGGGGGGAGCGAAATGCTGCCGAAAGCAGACCAGACGCCCTGACCGCTGGCACGTTCGGGGGAGGGTCCTGAAACTATCCGCCTCTCGAGGAGGGCGTGGCGGCGGCTCTGAGGCCGAGCGCTTGCTGGGTCTCAGCCCCACGGCCACTCTTTCTCCAGCCGGCTGCGGTGTGTGTCCATAGCGTCGACCGCCAGCCGCTCCACGGACACGAAGCCGCTGACCACGGACCCTGCCGCGGCACACGTGCCCGGGAAGGCAGGCCCCCGGCTCTCCCGCCGCCTCCGAGACTCATCGCGGCGGCACAGCCTGCGTCACCGCTCAAGGGCTCCACGCCGACAGCAGACGCGCAGCAGCTCGCGGTCCCTGCTGCCCGTGCCAGGAGCGACTGCGGTGCAACCCCCTCCCTTCCACATGCACAACTAGAAACCCACCCCGTGTGTATCACGCCCACCGCGGAAGGGCGGCAGCGAGCTCCAAGAGGGGCTGCTTAGGCTCGGCGAACTCTGAGCACAGGAGAAAAAGGGGAAGGTGGATCCAACGACCCCTCCTCCTTCTTTACAAGAAGGCTTATGGGTCTCCCCGCGTCTGAGCCAAGAAGCCAGGAAGGGAAAACCCCACCAGCCACCGCTACAGGGACGGGAAGCTTTGCTGCTGGGAGCCCTGCCAAACAGGAACCTGCGTTCCTCCCTTGGGGCCAATGAGCATGCAGGCGGCTGCCGACCTCTGCGGGGCGGGGGGGGGCCGGGGTCCTCAGCGTCGCCTCCTCTGCGGAAGGCCAAACGCCACCCACCCAGCTCCCCGCATGCCACTGGCTTGGCTGCCTTGTTTTCACAGGGGGCTTCCACAGCTGGGCGGTGCCTTTTCTCGATCTTTGGCCACAGGGTATGCTTGGCTGTTTAATGGTGCGGGCTTCCTACGCTAAGCTTTTAAACACACCCTGTAGCCGAGGGATCCCCACCCCTGGGGCACAGCAGGTGGTGAGCAGTAGGGAGGCGAGTGAACCGGTCCCTGGGGCCAAAAAGGTTGGGGGACCGCTGATGTCGGGGGGACCGCTGATGTCGGGGGACCTCTGTTGCAGAGGTCAGAGAGAGGCAAAGCAACGCGCGGCCAGGGACTCACAGGAGAGCAGGGTTAAAGTGTGGGCACAGGCGGTCAACACCCGACCCGGGGCAGGGCTGTCTCCGGGCGGGGGCCGGGGAGGGGGCCGCCCTGGGGAGACACCGCAGGCCGGGGCGGGGGCCGGCGGCTATGCCTGTCACGTGTGATCGTTCGCCCGTGAAGCCTCCGCGGGGCCTGCATCGGACGGGGCTGCATGGTGAGCGCAGGCCCGTGCGCCTCCGCCCTGCACGTGTCCACACCCCCGCCAAGGAGACCGTATCTGTGCGTAAACCGGGCCGCGGGCCTGAGGCAGCCGTCCAGGGCCGGCACGGCTACTGCCTGTCCATCTTTCCTCAATGAATTAAAAAATAAGCGAAATGAGATGTCCTTTAGCTTTTGATGAGTAAAGTACAAATCCTATCCCAAATATAACACGTACTTTGCTCCTGGAGGAGAGGTTTAAGTTCCTGCTGTTTTTCAGGAAGTGCATGGATTTGTTTCAAGTGGTAGGCACGCAAACATCCGGGGTGGTCAGCCTGGCGGCCGCGTCGCCACAGGCCTGCTCAGTAAAGCTCGTCTGCGTGGTGCTTGCAAAACACTGCGTGAGCATAATCACCTGTCGCTGCGTCGTGACACTGATAAACAAGGCAGCCAGTGTCTGGGAACCACAATCCCCGTCTGCCTGAATTTCTACTCGCTGAGTGCAGCCTAAGGCACGTCTGTCCTACTGCACACTTTTCTATAAACACTTTTTTTTTGGCGCCAATTTAGACCAAAAATTACCCACAATTACCAGGGAAGAAGAGTCTGAAATTCCATGTAGTTAAGAACAGGTGTAAACTGGTAGCAACGAGACTTTAGTTTAATAGCTAGGATTTCAAAATTAACTGGCCTTCTCGTTCCTTGGCAGACACTGACACCTAGTGGAGTTACGGTTTCTAAGATGGTCAACCTAAAAATACCGACCCGTCACCTTCACCAAGACGGCCACCACCCTCGCTCCCCAACGTCAGGCCCCATAACGACCGTCCCCAGGATCCCGGCTGCTTCCTCAAAGGCCATGAAGCCAGCCTGTTGCAGCTCCTTGCGCGACCCCCAAGTTCCGTTCCTGTGAACTGTCGCGTAGCCAGCCGGGCTCAATTTCTAAAATGGCTCACAAGCCAACCGTCTTCTAACGCTGCAAGACGAGAACAGCACCGAGGAGGCACAGCTCCCCGGGCAGACCTCTGTGTTCACTGCGGTGTAACGAAGCAGCTCTTACCAGCTCCGGCGCCTGCGGCCCCTGGCCTGCTCAGCGGCCGCCCACGCGCGCAGCGCGCGGAAACGGGAGGCAGCCCCTCTGCTCTCTCGCTGTGGGAGACCCCAGGCTGTGCCGGGCTCCGTGGACAGCCCAGGGCCGGGCACACTTGGTCACCGAGTTATGGTCATTTTGATTCTTCCTGCCTCTGAGCTCTCTTGTCAGTTACCCCACAGGCAGGGTCCAGGATACTATTTTCTGGCACGTTCCAGAACCGCCCTTTCCTCGGTGGGGACAGGCAGGCTGGACCTCTCCTTGTAACTGCCCTGTTTCTAAAGACGCCTCCCGGCTCCTCACCTCTTTCCCTGCGACCGGCCACCCTGGGACGGCACCCAGGGCTGGCGTCCTCTCCTCCCGCCTCAGCCCTAGAGGAGCGGCAAAGACACACAGACACTCTCGTCCTCGGTCCGGGCTCTGCCCCTGCCGCCGCGCTAGCGTCCTGCCCGCCCTCTGCACATTTGGCAGATGAGGTTCCCCAAGTCCGCTGGGTCATGAGGGAGGCACAGCCTGCTTTTGAGGTGGCCCATTCCCCACCCAGAGCCCCCAGCGGGAGCCCGCAAGTGCCGCGGGGGCGGGACGGAGCCGGGGAGGGCTGCCTCGTCACCACCGCCATCATTCGCGGTGTGTCTGAAGAGACTCCGCAGCAGAACAGTTTGCCCGCGGCCACCCCAACGCACCAGACAGGCAGAGAGCTGGCTGCCCCTGCCCAGTCTTGTCCTCCAATGGCTGCCGCTGCCTATAGTCAGCAGCCGTGTCCCAGCGTCAGTGGCGGTGAGAAAAACGGAAGCAAGGCCCAGAGACTCTGCCCCGCCGGGGGAGCTCCCCAGCAGCCCCCCACCCCCCGCCACCAATTCCAGCCCAGAGGCCCAGGGACCTGCCCCAGGTCACACAGCTGCAGGCAGTGGAGGCTGGCGCCTGAGCCTGCTGCGCCTGGTCCTCTGTGCCACCAGCAGCAGCACTTGCTGAGCTTGCGGGGCACAGGCCACACGGCAGAGCTAAGGCACCTGCTGCAGGCACGGCCGCCCAGCGGGGCGCCCGCCATGACCACCGGGGAGGGACGGGCCTGCCGCATCTGGCAGCTGCGTGCACGTCGATGCCACTCCCCCCAAGGGCTGCACGTCAGATGACCAACTGCTGGCCACCCCTGTGGAGCCCCCTTTAGTTCCAGACCCGAAATACCAGACTCCGACTTTGCATTGCCGTCAGCAGTCATCAGCCACAAGAGAAGCCACACTGTTTCCACAGGGCCCTATGGACGCAGAGCCGGCCAGCCTTGGCCGCCGGGCTGACCTGCGCGGCTGAGGACGTTCAGCAGCATCCCAGGCGCCAGCGGGGACCGGTGGCCTGCAGTGCCAAACCCTGCGCCGCAGCCCCCGCACTGTGACAGCTCCAAATTTTCCCCGAAATATCCAAATATCACCTGTGGAACAGAACCGCCCTGGCTGAGAACAGCTGGTTTAAAAGCATGAACTTGTTAACGCACAGACCCAGTTCCGGGAGGAATGGCCCGCTTCCCGAGTCCAGTGACCGGGGCCCCACGTCTGCCGCAGCTGTGCTCAGAGTCCTGCGTGACAGGTGACGTCCGCTGAGGTGAGGGACGGGGCAGGGACGCAGCACTCCTATGTCCTCTGCAGGTTGGGGGCCCCCGCATCCCAGCCGCCGGTGCAGCCTTTGAGAACCGCCCACGCCCGGGCCGGCACCGAGTCGGAGCTCCAGGGCCTCAGCCCCAGGGCGCACCGCCAGGTTTACGACGCTCCACTGCTGAGTCCCAAGGCAGGCCCAGGTGGGGAGCCTCGCCGGCCACGAGCCCCAACACCTGCGAGGCGAGTGCTCAGGCCGGGGATGGGGAGGCGTGTGGGGATGGGGTGGGCTTTTCTGTCTCACCCCAAGGGCTGGGCACCCACACCTGGGGACTGGGCAGAGTTTTGTCATCTCTCGTATTTGGTGTGACAGGTCTCTAGCTGGAGACTGAGAAAGTCACAGGACCACAGCCATCTCCGTACAAACCCCTCACTCACCACATTTGACAAACGGGTCAGAACTCTCTGCACCTCGAGAAACTCCCACCCCACTCGGTCTCCACGCCTGTGCATCGCATCGCAGTCCCAGGCTTCCACGGGAGCCACGCCTGTTCTTGTTCACTCACTCCGGACCCTACAAAGCGTCACCGAACCACCCAGCGGGACCCCACTTACGGTGAAGAGGTTGGAGCGGCGCTTGGACTGCTTCCGGACAGGCGTCGGCGTGCTGGCCGTGGGGGGGGCATCGATGCGCAGCTCCTTCTGGCTGGTGCTGGGCGTCGACGGGACGGAGGAGGAGTAGTCGCTTAAACTGCCGCCTCCGTTGCTTGTCTGTAATGACCCAAAATCGAGGCGGGGTTAGGGACACGCGCCAGGAACCGAGAGCCGCCCACGCCACGGAGGCAGGCGCCCGCACGCCAGGCCGGGGGCTTCTCCGGCCTGCCCCCCGCACCAGCGCAGGGCGCCCACGGTTTCGTTCCGGAACCCACTGGTCCTCTCGGAGTCAGGGGGTCTGAGCAGTGACTTCAGAAACAAAAGTCTCTATCGCTTAATTCTAAAAACTTTGAAAGTTAAGTGTAATTACTTCCCCTTCCCTCTGAAGACGTAGGAGCTGGTTCTACGGTCCCTTCACCATTCGACGCAGAAAACACTGCTTGGCCCAGCAGAACTGCCACTCACAGTTTGAAAATGATGTCTTGAAAACGTGGACGCTTTTGGAGAGTTCAGGATTCAGGGAGAACTAAGAGGCCTACAGCGGAGCCTCAAGCGTGCGTGACCGCTCCCCTACGCGCCGCGCCAAGAGGTGAGCCGCCTACAGACCTCTAGAAGCTGCAGCCTGCCCGTGGCCTCTTTAAAAACTGCCCCAGAACACCTGCCCCAGAACTGTTCGTCAGAACACGTGTGCGGGAAGCACAAGCCACGCCTCCTTAAGAGGTCTTGATTAATTTCCAATGTGACCATTATTTTGTTTATTCCCAAATAAGTAATTTAGCAAACGTCACTATGGGAATACAGTTTCTACAGGGCCTTGGAGACGCGGTAATTTGGACTGAGGGCTGCCACCAAACCTGGGCACACAGAGAGAGTGGCTGCCGACACCTGCCCGTGACGGTCCCACCTCGAGGGAGGCGGGAGGAGGGCTGGCACGGGGTGATTTAAATAGACAGCAAGGACGGCGTGCTCAGCCCCCGCCCCCCACCTGTGGCCAGCACGCCTCAACACGGGCCACGTGCCCACGGGGAAGGCTCAAGGCTCCAGGCTCCCCCTAAAAACCACCTGGCCATGGTGTTTCTGAAGAAAGCGTGAAGCCAATTAGCAGCATGCTGTTCTTCAGAAAGCTGGAAACAGAAAGGGAATCCACCTGGCAGCTGGCTGGCGGCGTGGCAGACAGGCATGGGCCCGCGGCCCCGGCGTGCCTTTTGGCCCAGCCCCCCACGCCCCTGTACCTGGCTGATGTGCACGGCGGACACCTGGGCGGAGCAGACGGACGAGTGGCTTGGGGAGTTGGGGAGCGACTTGCAGGGTCCTATGGAGAGCTGCTGCTTCTTCCTCGTGGCCACGATCTTCTGCGCAACTAGGGGGCGGGGAGACAGGGAAACCTGCGTGAGGCTGGCGTCCAGCCACGGGGCGCATGGCGGGGACCGCCGGCGGCCCCTGCGTGTAGCCCCCTATTCCCACGGTAACAGAGCTCGTGACAGTCAGCTGGGCGCGTGACCGCCGGTGCGGCCGCAACATCTCCGGAGCCTTGCTGGCTCCGAGCCGCCGCGCCCTAGCTGACCGTGGTTGGGCGGACGAGCTCCAGCCAGCGGGTGACAACAGAGGGGCAGGTGGCGGGCCACTTCCTGCCTCTGTCGTTCTCCTCCTTGCTCCTTGAAGAGCACACATGTTCTTTAGGCGGCCCTGGCAGGCACCTTGGGGACACACGCCATGCTTGGTGGCACGTGCGATAGAGGGGACCGGGCCTCCGCACCCTGCACAGACCACGTCGGAGACCCTGAACACAAAATGGAAAGACACACACCTATCTTGTTTAAATTACTCTAATAATGTGATGCCCCCAACCCCCGCCGTTACTTGCAGCAAAAACTAATCCTACATAAGACAGGGTAATGGAACCAAACCCCCATGAAAAATCAAGTCTATTTTTTGAATAGCCTACAGAATTACTCTTAAGTTTACAAGCTACTGCACAGAATTATTCAAAGACATGTAATTACATCAAAGACTTTTTTATTTAAATACATTGCTACACACATCCAAAGTTTCTCTTAATCAATACAAAGCTGAACCCAACCAGCCGTAACCCCTCGTGGCAAACAGCCTCGCTGATAAAGCTCGTTGGGTTTAATTGGAAAGGAAGTCAACGATCAGAAAGCTCTTCCTACACCAATAGGTGTCCCCACAGCAGAATAGGTGCAGCTTTTATTTGAACAGATGTGTGTCTTTGGGGACCAGCTGTAATTAAGTGCAATGACATTCAATCCTTGGGTTTGCCCGGACAGCTGCTACTTTTGCCGACACACACGCAAGGAACTCCTCACTGCCCCCCGCAATAGGCTGGGACGCGGAGGGGCGCGCGGGGCGTCCACAGTCTGTCTCTCCTCCAAATGAACACAACTTTAAGAAGGAACTGGCCTGTCCCGAGCATATGGCTCTCATGTAAATGAATGATAGTACAAATATGATTAAGTGAAAACGCAACATATAAAAAATGGCCCCCGGAGACGAGGCAGCAGCTTCATTAGGGACGGCCCACCTCCAACAGGCTTCTTATCATCCTGAAAGGGTGATATCAATTAATTTATCTTCCCGTAGTGTATTGATCATAACCTTCATCAGCTAATCATGTTTAAATTACAGAGGAATAGCGCGGCACTCCGTCATTCCAAAACCATTGGCATATTGATCTGGGGTCTTCTTTGAAGACGTGTATTAGAGTATTTTATAAATCATTAGGTGCACTCAAAAATAAAATCTAAGATCAGGTCATAACAGCTGTAAGGCATGTGTCGTGGGGGTGAACTGAAATCCCAAAGACCAAAGGACATTAAGTTGGAATCATGACTGTTTTGGTGAACGCCAATTTATTTCTTGGGGGAGGGGGATGGGCGGCAGGGAGCCAAAGGGGGTTTCTCACGATCAGCTTTAACGCATTTTTATTCTACTGCCAGCTTCAGAGCTACCACGCAGTGGTGTGACCAGAGGAATTTGACCCTAGAGCTCACCCGGAAAGCAGAGATGCGAGTTAGGCAGGGCGGGGCTGCCTGCGGAGCTCTGTGCGCGTTTCCCTACGTTTTCTTTGCAAAGAGATCTGAGCGGCTTTCCAAAATGAGTCAAGTAAGGGAAGGTTCCGTCCTTCCCGCTTGGTGGCCGGGAGGCACAGTCTCACGAGCTTCGAGGACAGGACGCCTCTGTCCCACAGCCTCGTGTCAGACAATGGACAGGGCTGGACAAAGCCTGAACCGTTGGGTAAGTACGAAAATCCCGTCCACTTAGTTACTGTTCTACTGCATTTGCTGCAAAACATCAGCAGCATTTTTTGTAATAAATGTGATAGAACACACTCTCATAACTGGTAGCGTTTTTTAACTTCACTCACGTTTGTTCTGTTTTCCATAACTGTTCTCACATAGGCCCCTACCCAAATGGAAGAATAAAAATGATTCGCAACTTTGTTGTTCTAAATTAGACTGCCTCAGACTACAGGATAACCCGCCAAAGCAGGGAAAACGTAGCAGAAGACAAGGCAAGTACAGGACTTAAGAAGGAAGACAACCAGGAAGAGGGAAAGGAGAGGCCGAAGCGACTGCTGGGTCAGGTGTGGCACCTCCTCCTTCCCAGTGACAACAAACCTAGGGATCCCTGTGAACCGCAGGTCGCTGACCAGCCGGTACCGCTGTGAGACCGGGTGTGGCCGCGCTTCTGTGCACTTCGCGGAGACTCGTCCGGGCGGACCGTTTGCGTGGGCTAGAGCTCAGGTGACCCCGCCACCTGAGACCCTGCCAGGGCCCGCCCCTCCAAGGACCTCACAGAAGTCGGGGTGAGTTCCGAGAGGTGAGAGGGGCTATGCAAGTGGGCGAGCACCGCCCCCCCCCCGCCCGCCAACAATGCGGAGGAAAATGGGGGCGGCACTGCTCTAGGGCAGCCTGAACCACGAACTGTCGCCTCGGGACATTCTGACCAGTTAAATGCCAACAGATTTAACACGCGAGTATCCCCGCAGATTACGGGCACTTTCTATCATCGCTGAGTTTTGTCTGCATTTGATCACTCAACCCATGAGTAGGTACCATTTTATATAAACACACATGAATGAATGAAACAGCTAAACGGGAGCACATACTTGAGGTTTCTTAAAAGAATAGGAAATCCTCATCACTGAGAAGGGTGTTTCTTCAGGTTCGGTGACACACGTTCCCATGACGCCACCTCACGAGTGACGCGGCAGCATGGCCTGGTGTCAGCGGCCTGTCCTGAGACCTTCGCTGTCTGTTGCCGGACTCGAGCCTGTCGCTCCAGCCTCCTGGTGGCCCGCGCTAGTGGCGCTGCAGCAGCCGCCTCCTCCACAATTCTGAACGGGACTTGGGCGCAACATGACAGGTGCCCTTTAACTGACCCCTCGACCGTATCTGTACCCACGCTGTATCAACTTCAAAACCAAGCAAGCAAACCACCAGCACCCGGGACCGGGGGCGGGGCCCTTGACCTGGGTGACGGCTTCGCGATCATTTTAAAAGCATCCTTTCCTACATACGGACTTCTGTGCCTCAATTTTAAAGTTTGCTTAAGAATGCGAGCCACAGGCAGAGAGTTATATTTACTTTCTGCACAGATTTCCCAGTTCCCATCGGACAGAGGACACACGGCGGCGCCCTGCACTGAGCGGTGAGAGCGGGCCCTAGGCCCCCAGGTCCGCCTGTGTGGACGCCGCGCGGGCACCCCCGCCACTCGCAGGGAGAGGGAAGACTAGGCCCAGCCGCACCGGAGGCAGGCCCGGCCCACGCCGTGCGCCCACAGCAGCCTGCCGGCCTTGCCCTCGGTTCACTCTGACAAGGGGCCACTTCACAGGGGAGGAGATCGAGGCAGAGGGGGCACCCGCAGCGGAGGAGGGACTCAGGCACGGCCTGGCTCCGCGGCTGCTCATGACGCGGGGCCCCGGGACCCCTGCGTTCCCTGCCGGCGCGCCCACGAGATGCCGCTGCTTCCCGGACCGGGGCCATGGGTCCCTTGGCTCTGTCCCCTCGCTCTCTCCACAACCCTTCAGCTTTCCTTGGGTAACAGGTAACCGAGGCCCCATGGGGCGGCTGGTACCCGGGGCGGAAGCCGGTGCCCATTCCAACACCACTTTCACCATCGGCCTTCTTGAAGGCAGCTGGGCCGTCCCTGACGTCCCCTCCCGTTCTCCTGGCGGCCGCAGCCCCTGCGGCAGAGGCTGCCATTGCCACGGCCACTGGTCACCGGTCGCCGCCCAGAGGTGGTGTCTTACCTGTGCGCTGGGTGGCCCTGGGCCTCACTGCTGCTTCCCTCCTGACCCGCACACCCCCCTCCGGCCGTAGCACTGAAGGCCCCGTGTCCTCCTCCGCCCCCCCTTCCTCCTCCATGAGCCGCTCACTGAGGGCTCCCGGCCGGCCTCCCCGTGTGCTCCCCGGCAACCTCTCCCCCCCAGGCCTTCCTGCATTCTAGAACTGTGTCTCCAGGCAGCACGCACAGCTCCCGCGACGGCGCAAGCCCCAGCCTCCGCCCCCAGCCTGCTATTCCAGCGACTCTGCTGCCCGTGCCCGCCCCCACCTCATGGATGGGCACACATCGCAGGCTGCAGGTTCTGCCACCCGAGTCCCTCTACACTCACCTTCACCGCCACCGCCTCGGTCCCGGGCCTCATCTTCCCACGGCTGGTTACAGGAGCAGTCCCCTGCCTGCCCCCCAAAGACACACACTGCGGGTGACCCTTTCCAAGGCACAGTGTCCCATCGCTTCGTTCTCCTTAGAGCTCGACAGTCCCCGCCACAGCGCGGACGCCCACCTCAATTCCTCAGCAAAGCGGGCACCCGTGGTTGGAGGCGGGCTCTCCGCTCCTGCGGCTTCCTTCCACTCCGACAGAGCCTCCTGAGAATGGGAGAAGCGACCTCCGACGGGGGAGCCGGGATGAGCGGCCCGTCCCTCCTCAGGCCCTTCCCTCGGGGGCCTGCGTGCCCGGAGCGCGGGACAGTGGCGCTTCGCCACCGGGAGCCTGGTGGGCAAGCCCACCTGACCGTGGTGCCCACTACGGAAGCCCGGACAAGCTCAGCTCTCCAGGGCAGTGTTACTGTCACTGAGCAATGGCATGGCCGCCCCGGGGCCAAGCCTTTGGTCTTCTGTCTGAGCCGGCCTGGACCCCGAGGGAGAACAGGAGGCCCTCAAAACCCAGCACGGCCCCCACCCCAGCCTCACAGCCCACGCCCGACCAGACACGAGTCACGGTGGCAGCCGGCCCTGCCCAGGACATGCCCCGCCTCTCCTGGGAGGCTCCCCCTCCTAACCACCCTGGCGGCCCAGGGGAGGCCCCACCCCCCAAATGCCCACAGGTGCTAGTGG